AGGGCTAACGCTCGAAACGTCAGCTTTTTTACCCTTTACGGTGGCTAATTTTCGAGAGTACAAATAACACTGGAATCAAAAAAGCAGTTAGATAATAAATAACTTTTTGATGTTTTGGTATGTAGTATTGCTGAGTATTTTCACTCGCTATTTGTATTTTGACTTGCTCTACAGGCTTGACTATACTTAGTGACACTACACACCAACATGTCCAATATGATATATCGGTATTTATCTTATAAACTACCATATTATACAGGAATTTCCAGCTCAGAGAAAAGTCGTAACAACACATAGAAAAAAATGTTTTTTTTTTTTTAACATGTTTAATATTGCCTATCAGCTGCTGACACACCACAAGCCTTCCACACCACTCAGTCAGGTCAAAGTGTTTGCCATTCTAAATCCATAGTCATTTGTCAGAATTTTTTTGGATTATGGCTGGTAAAATACTAAAAAATCTGTATCGCTTACAGACAGTGACATTCAAACTTTCCTGGAAGGGGAAGAAAACCAAATTACGAAAAGAAAAACTGTAAGTTATGTATTTAGTGGCCTTAATAATGGCATTTCTCATGGCTGAGAAAAAAAATCAACCACTAAAAGATTTGCCACCAGCCAATTTTCACTGTGTACCTGAAAGATTTCTTCTGTCAGCAAGGACCAATTCAATAACTGATAATTTTGTTTTGTCATGAGTAATTGTTGTAAATATAAACTTCTAGCAATCTCCAGACTGCTGAGTCTTGCTGACTTGCATACAGTACAACTTTCCAAAACATTTCATCAAGTCATGCATTTATTAAGTAATACTACCAAAATAGTTCTTATGTAAGCTTCTGGAATGTTCCAGAACACTTTATGAATACATATATAAAGACTCACTTATGCAGTAGTAGGAGTAGTTGTTGTTGTCGGAGCAACAACTGTTTAGAAAGCTACACCAAGAGAGTGACTGCAAAAGATCACTTATTTTAAGGAAATTTAGAGGGAGCAGTGAGATTGTGTCAGTGGTGAGCTAGGATATAGACTGTGGTGGGTTTAATTAAGTTTATTAACAATAAGTATTGTACTGCTTCAAGTAGGTGCTACTTGCTAAGAACATTGCTCACTGTTTATCAAAGTAGTTGAGTTTGTAAGGTTGTGGTGCTTTTCTGTTGGTTAGATTATACAGTAACAGTATATTGAAAATTAGGCCCACTATTTGTTTTTGTACTGGTTCAACACATTTTCATCTTATGTGCACCAACGCACTTTACAATTTGTATTCAGAATGTCGACCCTTTTATTTTCATTCATTAATAAAGTAAACATTTCTTTTTGGTTATGGGCTATTGCGTTTATATGATAAACAACATAATACATGGTTGCTTGTAAATATTAAATGTCTTCTTCTCATGTTCAACTTGACATCTCACTCATTCACTGCATTCACTTGTGAGCTATCGATTTAAACACTCAAAGAAAAATTCCATATCTATGCACTGCCTTGTATTATATTCTATGAATGAACTGCAAAGCCTTCACCATTCTCTCGGATAATAGCAGCCAAAAACTCTGAAAAATCAGTATTGCTTACCGACAGAGACGTTCAAATTTTCCAAGAAGGAAAGAAAACCAAAGGAAAAAAAACCAAAATTTATGTATTCAGTGGCTTTGGTAACAGCATTTCTTGCTGTAGAGTGCAGCCTTGCTGCTTTTGTGATCTTCACACTGTGGACAAACTAACAAGAATTACACCTTTTGCTGGCTTCTTTGAAATCCATAGACAGCTTTTTGGGTCTCACCAAGAGAGGTAAATTTGGTATGGAGCCAGTACAACGAAGCTTTTTGACTAAGTGAGGCTTCTTGACCTAAGAGGCATGTTAGTAACCCTTTGCATTTCAAGGTTTAAATAATCCAGTTGGATGGAGGTGAGTTATGCAGGAGCTTGACTCAAGTTGTTGTATAGCTTGAAATTTCTGGCATAATCACTACCCAAGTGCTAAAAGATCAGTGAATGAATGAGAGAATTGCAAATAAAGAATTTGTATACCATGCATTGCAATAGTTGCAAACAATTTAAGTCATGTTTCCTTGTGTGGAGTCTTGACTACAAGAGGGAAATCTTGTGCTGTCATACAAGGAAGTCAACCTAAAGAAATAGCACCCAGTTCAAGTTTCACTTGCCTGGAGCCTTTGCATGGTCATTTGTACGGAGACAATAATAATGATAATAAGAAAAATAAAATAAAAGTTAAAAAAACCTAACATATCTTCATTAAAATAGAAATGCCTCTCCCTTGCCTTCATACATGGCGGTACTGCACAAAAATGAAAGTGACTATATGGAGTTTTCAGGCAAAAACACTTTCAATGGGAACTACGTTCCATTATATTATGGAGACTTTGTTTTGGCCTGTCAAGCAACATTTCTAATTTCAATTAATGCATTTACCTTTCTTTTTTTTTACTCTTATTTTCTATGTATCATTATTTCATGATGATTTTTTTTCAAAACCTTTTTTTTTAGATCCATGATCTAATCCGTGATTTGGTTCATGATGCGATCTGGTTTGATCCAGATTTTGTAGATGCTGATATAAACAAGTATGACTGTATACAATAACCCTTTCCAAGAATGTTGAGAAGCAAGGAAGAATCAAGACAGGTCTGTAGTTAGTTAAAAGATTTTGATCTCCAGCTTTAAAAATAGGAACAACACATGCAATTTTTAGTTCATTTGGAACAACACCATGGGTAATGGTTAAATTTATAATGTGCATTGATGGTACAGAAATGCTGTAAATAAGTGTATAGACAATGAAAACTTGTGGTCAGTTTGATAATTAGGACTTCAAGGAAAGTTCATTCCTACCCCAAATTGTCCTGTACCTAGCTCTCTGCCAAGGACAATGTCTGATCTAGGAATTTCCCATATATCTATGATAGAAAAAAAAGCATTAAAGAAACATAAGGAAATAAAATACAGTAATGTTTATGCACCAACTGATTTGATCCCAAATCAACTTAACAATACACTGCTCTAATTTTCACCAAACCTCTTAACTATATACTTGCCAAACCTTCTATACATCAGACCCCTATTTATCAGCAACAACATCTCCCATCTAAATCAACCTGTCAACATTCGGCTTTTTTATAGAAAATTTTAGCACAGCAATCTGAAAATGTTAAACATTCTGAAATTTCAGTTTCTCATCAATGGTTTATCTTTAAGGGGAGACTCCCAAATGTAATCCCATGTTTAATCTTTAATTCTAACTCTGCTAATATAAAATAGCCTTCAATGTCCATTCTTTTCTTCCCAAATAAAACAAAATTGACAATTTTTTATTTGCAGATTTATTTTAAATAAAAACTGTATGAAGTCATTATAAATGTATCCACATACCATGGCCAAATGCTGCAACAGGTGCTTGACCAAATGAAGGTGGTTGTCGTAGTCTTGTCACCAAGCCTAAAAAGGTAAAAAAAGAAAACACAGATAAGTCAAACAGTCATGTTAAATTTGGAGTGAAAAATGAAGCACTGATAAGGTGTGTTTTTTAGGGATGCATGTCCAGTCTTAGTGATTAGAACAGACCACCTACAGGTGTACAGTGTATAATAACAATCAAGAGAAATGAGTGTAAAACAAGCAATTTTGACAATGAATATATGAAAATCATATATGTGAACTATATATATGCGATAAAGAAATGAATATGGAAGCAACCTTTGCAGTTATGAACACTACTTGAGCAGCAGTGAAAATAAGGTCTGTACAGGATTTGAACCCATGTCCTCTGTAATACTGGTGCAGCACTCTACCAGCTGAGTTAACAAGCCAACTGGGAGCTGGTCATTATGTTGGTTCCAAATAAACCTGTGATATATTTATTGTGAAGACCTGTGTATAAGCTGTACCTTTTTGCATAAGTTTTGGGCCAAAAATCCTGGATGCAGCTTATACACGAGACCATTGCTTTCACAAGGAGTACACTGGCTTGTAGTGGGCATAAATTGAACTGAGAATCTTTTGTGAATAACAACTAAACACATTGAAATCTGTTGTTGATAGCAAGGACTTTTGTGGTTTCTAACTAAGCAACTATAATTATAGTAGTTGAACATTGAACATAGAACACTGGCTGATAAAATGAATTTTTCAAGAATGCTCATGTAAATAGTTCTTTCTTTTTTTGCAAAAAATGACTAGCTTTTGCTTTTTTCAACAATAATGATTACAAAAATATCATTCATTTGTGTAAAATACAGTCTTGAGTGGTCCAGTATTTGTCCAGACTTCCCTCGTTCAATGACTTTGTGGTTACCAAGCAAATATTTTGCTTCCCTGCCAAAGGTGAAACAGAGGGGAGGGAGCCTCCATTTCACCTTTGGGGAGGGAGGGTGCAGCTACACGTAGGCTAAGTTCAAATTCCATCGTTTTCATCTGAGTTGTGGGCTTTAGCAATGAAGACAACTTGAATAGGAAAGCGATCTTCGCAATAGGGAACACTACTTAAGCAGAAGTGAAAATAAGGCCTGTATGGGATTTGAACCTATGACCTCTGCGA